AAATTGTATAATGATAGCAATGCGTTATTAGTGATTGTTGTTAATTAAATGTAGTGGTATGCGCTTAAAGCAACAGCATTCCAGATACCACAAACAGCATAGCGATACCGCTCAAGGCGAACTTTACTTGAGGCGCGCTGTCAGCCACAGGGGCAGCGCTTCCTGTAGAGGAAGCTTCAGGAGTGCTCTCAGCGGTAGTGGTTGTTTCTGCATCTGAAGTTACGAGAGCAGTGGTCGATGTTGCTGAAGATTCGTGAGACACGCTAGACGTAGTAGCAGCGACAGTGGCGGAAGAAGCAGGTGTGGTAGTAGTAGTCAAGTTGATGCCACAGACCTTCTCAGCATCAAAGGTGAAATCAAGATCTCTAGCTCTACACTCAGAATGTTGTCTTTCAATCGATTCTATGAGGAGCGAATGAGATATGTGGTCAGCTAAAATTCGGTCTATATCGCACAGAGATATGCTCACCGGGCATTATATCGGAGTCGCACTTCTCAGCCATACAGCAAAAGTATTTTTCACGATACTTTTGCTGTGTGCACATGCAGGCCGCATCATCTGTGCAAGAACCTCCGGGGAAGCTACCAAAGAAGCAGCCATTCTGAAGAAGTGCATATATTAGCCATTGAAGTCTTCCGTAGGCCAAATCACCTTCCAGAACTCTAGGCATGTTGTCTACTCACATCACACTTAGATTTGCGAAGCTCCGCCTCTTGGTCGAAAGCAACCACGAGGCCAATGCCCAGCAGGCTAAGAAGCACTAGAGAGTTGTGTAAGCGGGTCATCTTTGATATCAAGCCTAATGAATGACAGAAGCGAGTGTAATCGACGAACGAGCGACTAATGGGGGTTTCGATTTCCGATGAAAACAGCAGCAAGGGGGGGCAACCGTTGAATTAATACCTTTTGCAGGTAATTTCGCGTTCGAGGCGCATCGCTGTGCCGCTGAGTGCTTGACTGCATCAGGAAGCTCGCCAAGTATCTGGCCATAACAGCAATAGTGGAGATATCGTGCCGATGGACGAATAAGAAGAACTGCATATTCATCTTCGAACGAATGAGTTAGTTGCTCTAAACCTTCGACTCCAGCGTCGCGCCAGAAACTACTGTTTCATAGTTTTCCTTCTAGTACACCAAGCCTGTCATAGCCCGGGTCCAACTCGACCTGTATTCCATTTTTTTAATTACCGCATTTCCTGAATTTTCCAAATCCTCTTAGAGTATTGGAATGCTCCCACCTCTGATGTCGACGATGCATTCTTGTTCGACACATTAATCCAGAAAGATTTATACACTAAAACTCATCTGTAGTGTGATCACTACTGAGTAATCACAACACAACGTTTTTAGTTGTTGTTGAATTCGAACTAAGGCTTCCGTACTGAACGATTGAACCTGTTATTTCTCTCTTTCCATAACTTTCTTGAGTTTGAATGTGTAGATCTACATCCTGTAGCTATTTCCTCTTTATTGTAATTATCTCTTGCATTGGTTTATCTACTACAATAGGTGCTATTGTCCTGTTTTGGCTTTCAACATTAGTCAAGAAAAGTGCTATAGGGTAAGCTTACCGGCTGACCATTTTCGATGTTATATTGACTCACGTGTTTGATATGTCCTATGAATCTCAAGAGCTTATCCCTAGCATATATATTAGGTCCGTACTTATAACAGGCGAATTGGTAACGTCAGATTAGGGTCATGAGATCTATGGGACGTGTTAGATCTGACATGTTCACGCAGTATTACCCTGAAGTGTCCGCGGACATCGCCGCGGCTTCAGGGGTAAGGTCGAGGATCGAAGTCACGGATCCTGATCCCTGCACCGACTTCTTATCTAACCGTCTACTCGTCTTATCTTGACGCCGTGGCTAGGGCCGCGGATTTAATCCCCGCTGCACCATTCCTCAAATGGTGTCCCTTTCGAACTGTGGGTCTTATCTAAGCCACCCTCGAAAAACCAAGCTGCATTCAGCAAGCGTTTCGATACGACAAGCGAGATACCAATTGCCGATCAAACACAGCCTTCCAGACGGTCTCGATGGATGACGAGCATTGAGATGGGTGCCTATAATGAAGAATTGAAGGGACTCTTGAGCCCATCATAAGCTTAGTATAGGTTTGCGCAGGCCCTTGGGCGCAACGAGTCCGTCGCTTCAAAGTAAAAATCAAAGTGGATCTGATTACTCATACACATAATGTCTCTGATTGGGTAGCTGCTCTGAACATGCAGCTTCGTGGAGCCTAGCGTTTTCGGTTACAGCAGAGCTGAATCCTTTCGTGGCTGGGAATAGCGACGTAAACACGGCCCAGCTAATGTGCCGCACGATCCGATGTACCTCCATCTTCGCTGTAACTCAGCATTATGCAAAGTACCCTAGGTTACCTCAATACCCTGCAAACTACCCAGTAACTTGACAGCAATCTGACGCGGCGGCTGACCCATGTCCGCGTTAGAGCAATCAGGGGCCCCGCGTCGTCGCTTGAATGGCCAAAGCTACCTTGAAACCCTCAGGAAATCGGGCAGACCGCACGTAACACCGTGATCCTTCATTCTCGATATTCGAGGGGCTGTATCATATTCCTCTCCACATGATAGGACCAGAAGCAAAGTTTCACTGAATGGATTACCCTCTTGGGAAGATCGCTCGAATGGATGGCCACAAATGGGATCGCTTTCCCCACTGGCACCTCCATCCTTTGGTGACATGCGGTAGGGCTGACTTGACGATCTAAATTCTGCCCACTGACTGACCATCTTGGCTGTGCTGCTGCGCTTACCGACAGCGAAAAGCTTAGTGTAGATCTGCAGGTTTATCCATGCGTGGGATGCACTTCACTCTGGTTTAAATATCGAGCTTTGTCGACATTCATCTGCCACGAGCCACATCTCCCATTCTTTCCATTCATCAAGCGACAGCACCACCAAACCACTCAACACTTTAGACCGCTAAGCACGACTTTCAGCGCCAACGCAATGGGCATTTTCCACCATGACAGCGGAGATGGCAAGAACGAAACTTGCCCTGTTCACTCTTTGCACCAAGGTAATACAGCACCACAACCTGCACGAAACAACCTCAGATTCACTGACTCGCAAAAGATGCTAAAGAGAACATCGTTGGAGACTTCACATTCTATCAACTCAGCATGATCATCGCTGGTGCCTGCACCGGCGTGACCATCCTTATCATGTTTACCCTCAAGCAACTTCATGCAACACATCTTTCCAACCCCTCAGAACAAGTCAAGTAAGCAATCCCAATGCGAAAACTTCAACAAACAACTGACCACTGTCTAGAATTATGCGAATTGGCACTCTAATATCGATGTTTGGCGTGATATCCCTTCTGTCGATCAGCTTTCCATCCGCAGCAGTCTACATTAAGCCGTGGCTTCACGCGTATGAAGGATTTGCCCTGGGCTCATTCTTCCTGCTCTTATGCGATTATGTGTCGCCTCACCGAGATCAACGAGATGTGTTTTTCGCGACAAAGAGGAAGAATGGAATGAAATGGTTCAAGGTATGCACTTAAACATCATTAGTGGTGGTTCACTGACCAACAATTAATTCCAGACGCGCTGGGTTATGATCTTCCAGATGCCTGTCGTCGCGATTATAACATCAGTCGCAACAGACGTGACCGAGGCCGCTGGGGTGTTCTGCCAATATAGCAACAAACCGCGCTATGCCAAGATCTGGCTACAAGTTATCATGTCACTCTCCCTGGTTGCTTCAGTCGCGGCTATTCTCCAGATGTACGGCCTTCTCAAGAAGGATCTTGCCCATCATCGACCATTCCTCAAGCTCACCGCTTTCAAAATTGTTGTCGGCTTGACTTTCATCCAAGAGGTAGGCGCTACTTCAACCTTGTGCTCTAGAATGATCAGAGACTAACCTTTCCAGATTATCTTCTCGATCCTCAGCGATCAAGGGGTCCTCAAACCTACAGACACCCTGACTTATGCCGATGTCCACATCGGTATCCCCAACCTACTCATCTGCATCGAGATGGTTCCTCTGGCGCTCTTCTTTTGTTTCGCCTACCCTTGGAAGGTGTACAAGGATGGTTATGGCCGTGGGAACTTTGCCAAGCTGGAAGAGGCTGCCAGGCCTAGCAGTTCTTACCAGGGAGGACCCTTTGGCATCTATGCTTGGCTTGCCATGCTCAACCCCTCCGACTCTTGGAAAGCCATCATTTTCGCCATTACGCCAAACAGGAGCGAGTCTCCTGGAACCCCAGTTGCAGTGTCTAACTACAACTCGGATGACGGTCTGATCTCGCATCCTTACAACGCGCAGGCCTACTCGATGCCACCTCAGGGCCCTAGGGATGGATACTCCAACAATAGTTAAACGAATGTTTTGTGCAAGTATTCGGTGGATAAAAGAGAAGCTACTGTGGCTGAGGTAGGCATAGGTGTTAAGATTTACGATTACATATAGACTCTTGGATGATATGGAACCCCATACTTCACCCGGAATAAACATCTTATTCTTGACATCTCCTCGATTGGCTCATGTTTCGCTTGTGATCATTGGTTTCCAAAAACTGAGGTTGGCTGTAAGATGATCCTTGACAGCAGGGGCAGACGTAACCGAAGCTGACCCTGGGCTTATGCTCGCCAGGTAGACAGGCAGAAAATTGGCAAGACAGCCCACAGGTGTGCCGATACCCGAGGGTAGCATGCTTGGCCACAACGTGTACAATTCTTGCCCCTTCTTTCCAACGTGCCCATTTCGTTTAATATGCCTGTGATAGTCTGGCAATTTTGTTCACAGCGTCGCGCAAGTCATGATTATCTATGTAGGCGAGCTCAGTTTGGTTGTCAGACTTATTCTAGCCGCGATTAAGTTTATACGGCACGCCTAACCGCATTACAAGAGATTCGAGGACTTGGAATTTATGAGGATTGTCCTTATTAAAATATTTCAATACTGCGTGTTATATCTACATAGTCTGATATTTCGAGCTCGAGTCTCAACCAACCAGAACGCGCCGCGTTGGCTCAGTGGTAGAGCGTATCACTAGTAATGATAAGGTCCAAGGTTCGATCCCTTGACGTGGCACACGAGACAGTACCTGTGACTCTAAGAGACACCCCTTCCACGGTTCTGTGACTCTTCTTTTTGATGTTACGCATGTCATGTCTCATATCACCTGAGTCATCGCTCGCCCGTCGCTTGGCTAAGTCTTGAGCAACGCATCGACTTTTTAGCTCATACTATATATATTGAGTCGAGTTCCTTTCGCAATACGAATATGGAAATTACCCAGCTGAGCTTAAATCTTATAGTTTATCTATATTCCAACATTTGAGATTACTTGTTATCTATGGGCACTCGGTTCAAATACTGATCTTGACGTTGGAAGTTTAGGTTAAGGGGAATAGTTTCTAGACCCTCAGGTTCGGGAGCATCTTCACAGCATAATTTAGATCCTTTATTGAAGTATTTAGCAGCTTGCAGTATCTCACGCTGGTAGATATATAACGTAGAACTTCATTTCTGATATCAATAAAGAAAAGACAACCCATATACCACTTCAAAAATACCCTTCAAAAAGGGTTCATATAGTCATACTCGAGCCAAAAGTGAATACCACCTGATTCCCATATATCCATCATGAATGTTACAATTACCCTCCCCACTCCATTTGGCCCATGCTGTTGCACCTGAATCCTGATCGAAGAGACACCACTTTCCCCTCCTGGCCTCGCATGCTATTCCCTGTGCTTCTAATCCATGCATGAGCCACCCTGCTGGGGTATTCTCGGATGGCCTTCCACGAGTATGAGGTCTAGCAATAAAGCCATAGAGATACACCTGTTTCAACCTTGGAAACGTAGACTTCTGGAGGAGTAGATCTCCAAGCCTCTCCACGAGCGCCCTATTACCAGCTCCAGTTGTACCTCTGTTCAGAAATTCCTCCTCTGAGAATCCTTCGTTTTCTTCCACTCCCGCTCCAGGTCTTTGATCCAATACCAACGTCTCGAGCGTCTGACCAGAAGATAGCAGGATTCTTCGCCAAGTCTCTAGCGCGGCCTGTTCTGCGGATGTCGACCATGAATTGCCTTGCCCAAAGTAATCTTCGCGACTGTTGCAGGGTTGACATAGATATAGATGTCTCAAATTTGGAAATGAAACAGGATCATGGGGGTAAAAATCTCCAAGTGGACGTGGAATGACGCCGCCAAGATTGACCATCCTGTTGCCAAAGAGTGGGACATCCTCCTCGATAATGCCAGTTTTGCCGGGAATAGGTCGGTCTAGTAGACCAAGCTCTAATCGTTCGAGCATAGTGCCAGATCGAAGTACATAGGTTGCAACAGATCGGGGTATGTAGGCAAATAGTTTTGCGAAGTGAAGTTTGGCCAACGGAGGGGCTTTGATGCTAGGTATAGTCATCCCGTTCCACTCGCAGCCATCAGAACTGCCATGCAGTTCCAAAGTTTCGAGGTTGGAGAAGTAAGGCAAGAGGTTCCATACCGACACAGGGTTCGTGACCTTCTTCTCATCAGGCCGCCAGCTTGGTTCTATCACTGTACACAAATTCTTCACTTGGCTGCCAAGTTCCCTCAGGCGCTCTTTATCATGGGCATGAAGAGTTTGTAGCATAGTGAAAAGTTTTTCTGCTCTTTCTCCTATGTCACTATGCCAGCCTTTGCGCCTCGAGCTCTGATATAGGCGTCTTGGGGATCTGAAAGGCGGAGGGTCATTAAATTCTGCACTCGACTCGTGGTATCCTTCCTCATGGAGCTCAATGTTCTCCCATAAGCAAGATCCAGCTATAGCTTGGAGCCGCTTACAAGTGTAGCTGAGCCGGCATAGCTCTTGTGGAGAGCTGTCGCGTATGATCTCGAAGAGAATCTCGCACGGCATAAGGTCAAGGGCCGCCATTGCGGAGCCTCATCAATTTGATGATGTTGACAAGTGTAAAATCAAGGACGAACATCGTGGCCGCTTAGTACGATACGTCAACAGCTTATATTGCTTACATGTCTTACCACCCTTTCATCCGGCCAAGCGGCGTATACCGTCTTATAAGGATGATCACGTGTAGTCCGGGGTTCTCGGAAGCCTGTCATCTCCGCCAAAACACGGGGTCTCATCGCATTTAGCCTTTTTGCAATACTATCGCATGACACTTCGAATGTTAAATATGGAAACCTCGATTATTTTACTCAATAGAAAACGACTTCGCTTTTCTTCGTCCTCACCGCTCGATGAGCAATTGACAAAAGTCCCATGCCTAGAATGTTACTCCACGAAATTGGGCAATTAGGCGGCCGTAAGCTGAGCCAAGATGCCAATGATACAGAAGGATTTGGCTGACATAGAAGGCAATTTTTTGGCGAATGAACGAATGAGAATGACCTTGTAAGAAATCTGTATTCATTGTACATTAATTATTGAAGTAAATGTCTTGGGGATACACGAGACCTACATAGACAACGCATGACTAAGGGTGTATCTCGGCATGTACGGTAAATCAATGTTTTGAAAAGGGAATAAATAATATATGTGTGTATCCTAAAGCCTCTTGAGCACAAGATGGCATACTTAAGGTATGGGAAAAGCGTACTGTTAGTAGTTGTTTAGGCCGGCCATCAAGAAGCATGCAACAGCTCGTGGTAGGATAGAATCAACCAGGCTATACAACATCGGATGTATTCAAATAACATAGTCGCGAAGCAGCAATTAAGTCGACAGTGGAGACGTGTAGAAAGGCGACATATTTACCTTTACATATATGCCTCAGAGGAGATACGCCAAAGTCTTATAGAAGCTAAAGAAGCCTTCGTCTAGATCATGCATGTATAGATTTACTTCTAAAATGTCCAAACTTCGACAATTCAACCTGGGAACGCAACGAGGTAAGTATCACTCCGCTACACACCACATAAATATGCCGCCAAGCTATGCATAACTATTGGAATGTCCATTATCACTTCCTCTTTTTCGGCTCTGCGCCAGAAAATAGATGTATTTTTTTAATCATGGCTTCCTTGTTGTACGACCATTTCTTCCACTCGTTGGGGACGAGTTGAGTAGACTTGCGCTCACGAACCAGAAGTACAGGGTCATTATTAGTAATTAGAGCAGTTTCTAATGTTTTCAAAGAGTTCTTGCCCTAGATCTGATTTTATTTTATCGGCGTGAATATTACAGTCCCCTTCTGGTTATTGTTAAGCGCTTTGTTGCTGAAGATCTAACGAGAAATCGGGTTTGTCCTGGCTGATTATACTAGTTAGTCCAGCTCGCTCACTGTCGTACAATAGAAGAACATGTCATTCTGCGGAGCAAAGATGTAAAAATAGTGATATAATGATCCGTTAATGTATTCTCACACTTCACGGAGATCGTGAAGCTACTACCATGTGGAATGAAGCGATTGGCTCCAAGCTTCATACAGAGGAGTATATAGGTCTCCTAATCGCTACGTTCGGAAGTGAGACGGGGTAGTCTTTCGGCATGGTTCCGAATATAAAAGCAGACATTATTCTCAGCAATCGACCAGTTCATGTCAAACTCATATATGCATAATGCCCTCCCAAGATAATACGATCCTGGAAGCTTTCACTGAGACAAGTAAAACACGTTATTCTGGTAAATATGGGCATGCTCATCTATGGACTGTTCGTGTCCTAAAAGTGTAGAGTATCAGATTCTATCTAAGGTCCTAGAACCGGAGGCAAGCGTGGCTGTGGAACGGATAATATCCGAGCTACACTTATCAACAAGGTCGGATACCTGCCCGATCAACGAGTTCGGAGCATCGGAGGACTCCTCCGAACCGCCCCCGCCGGATCCGGACCCCGACAGTCAGGAACATTAAAATCAAACAAAAAGGAAGAGTGATCATTTCAACTGGACCAGAAATTACTAGATCAGTTTCAAGCCTTTACCCCAAATTTCGCGCGTGTATTCACATTCCCGTTGCAGCCGCCGAAACATAGTACGGCCATGTCCGCCCAACAACAGTCCGCCTTTGGCGCTGCGGAATACATCCCGCCGGATGCCATCTTCGAGGTTACCAAGCGGTTCAACGCCGACCAGGACCCCCAGAAGGTGAATCTCGGTCAGGGAACCTACCGAGATGAGAACGCCAAGCCTTGGGTGCTTCCCTCGGTGAGAGAGGCTGAGAAGTTGATTGTCAATCCCGGCCACGAGTATCTGCCCATCGAGGGTCTGCAGAGCTTCCGTGATGAGGCTACCAAGCTGTTGTTTCACGACACCTCTGCCCTCAAGGAGAACAGAGTAAGTCCAAAACATTTCGGTGATTGTAGATAACTTTTACTCATCATTATAAGATTGCGACATGTCAGTCCATCTCAGGAACTGGCTCTCTGCTACTGGCCGGACTTGTCCTTAGCAAGGCTCGCTCAGGCATTGAAAACATCATCATCACAGACCCCACCTGGTCAAACCACGACTTGCTCTTCAAGGAAATTGGTTTCAATGTTGTCAAGGCGCCCTACTACAAGGATAGAACTTTTGACTTTGAGAGCTACCTCAAGACCCTAAAGGGCGCCGACAAGCGCTCTGCAGTCGTGCTGCATGCATGTGCCCACAACCCTACCGGCTGCGACCCGACCCGCGAGCAATGGAAAGAAATTGCCGCCGTGATTAAGGAGAACGGAATATTCCCGATTATTGACTCGGCCTATCTTGGTTTCAACTCGGGCTCCTACGACGAAGATGCGTGGGCTGTCCGATATCTTATCGAGGAACTCGGCCTCGAAGCCGCTATCTGCATGTCATTCGCCAAGAACATGGGTCTCTATGGCGAGCGGGTAGGCCTCACAGCGATTGTCACCAAATCCGAAGACACAAAGCGAACAGTCTTTTCGCTCCTCCAGAATGCGCAGCGCCAGACAGTCTCGAATCCTCCGGTCTACGGTGCACGACTCGCCGCCACAGTCCTCAGCAACCCCGATACGCTTAAGCAATGGCATCAGGATCTAGTAACCATGTCATCACGAATCAGGTCGATGAGGAAGAAGCTTTACGATGAGCTGGTGCGGTTGGGAACACCAGGAGACTGGTCACATATTGTGAATCAAACT